AATTTATTTTGAATTTAGTAAAACAGCTAATGTTACCAAGTGTAAGTTATCTCTACTATTCTGATTAATTTAGTCAAAGATGCTAGAAATAATACAACAAATTGAAACATTTCATTTCAAGGCTATAAAAGTCCACTTTTTTGCATTACTGCTCTCAAAAACAATTGCCAAAAGTTTCGTTTCAGCTCTGCCCAAAACAGTTTCTCTCATTCCCTCTCCTCAACTTCTTGGAACATTTAAGTAACAAAACATGAGTTATTCTACATCTGTAATCACCAGAGATGTTATAGAGCATATTTTGACTCCTTCAGCAATAGGTTTGCCTGATGCCTTGTTCGCCTCCATAATATATAACTTAATCCATCTGGATAGGACTAGCCTGGATGGCTTCTTAAAAACTCTGGCACTGGCAAGTTTGTTATTGAAAGGGAAGCATTAATTGTATTTGGATTATCTTCCAAAGTAATTGAGACGCTGCTGGTTTCCAGACAGATGTCAAACTCAAAAGGCCTGCTCTTCCAGCTGCTCTTGGTATAGCTCATAACATCAAGAAGACAACAAAAAAATTGAAAGGCCCTGGAATTTCAGATATTCCAGAATTTTTTGATGTTTGTTTTTTGTTTTTTGTGATAGTCCTACATGTTACCATCTTTGGAGCTGAAAACCAATCTTTGGATTTCTCAAAGCAATGGAAAAAAAAAAATCCTCAAGAGTTGGATCTCCTTAGTCAGTGTTCACAGAGTAGATCAGTGCTACACCCATCTGGACTGCACAGCACAGGTGATGTAGCTGCTGTGGAGTTAGAATTGCTGAAGGTTTATTCATTATAAACACTTAGTGACAATTCTAGGTCCCATTTAGGAAAAAAAGTAGAATAACATCAATTTCAAATTTTTCTTGTCTTGGAAATATAAGCCAAACTGAAACTGGCTGCAGAAGCAGACAGTTACAGATGAAGTCATCTAAAAGCAAGCAGGGTCTCAGTTACTTTGGAAGACCATCCAACCATATTTAATATTTCCTCCTGAATAATTATGCTGTATCTATGGAAAATAGCCTGAGGTTGAATGAATAATGGGTTCGCAAAAGTAGGTGAGTGGGATGTCAGCACCATTTCTATCTCCTTTGGTAAGCAGGATCTTCTGGTCAATGTGGAGGCAAAACCCAGCTGTCCCTGGGCTTACCTCCCTAGGAAAAATCAGGAAAAAGTGTGAAGCCACCTACATGCAAGCTTTACCCTGTAACTTAAAATCCAGTTTACATAGGTGGTACTCCAGCATATTTCTCTCCTTTCAACTGCTGAAACAGACTGACTGCTGAGATACTTTTACTGAGCCACCAGACCGAAGACGTGGTTCAGACACCGTTCTCTGGTGCTAGTTGTGAGGCTGCTGCAGCAATCTGCCTTCTGATTCTTCCCTCCCTTAAGGTCGTTCATGGAAACAGCCCTTTCCTCTGCCCATTTCATCATTTCCGCTGTTTCTAGGCTTGGGCTTCAACCTTAAACTACTGAGCTTGTTCATGAGCCTGCTTCCTTTAGCAATTTTGTGATGATGATTGAAAACAGGAGTGTTTCTACTCGCTGAGCAGCAAATCCATCTCCAAAGGCAAAGGAAAAAAAAAAACAGAGGGGACTTTTTTCATGTGAATGTGACACCTGTCACTATATATCAATCATATTAATTATTTCTTCAAATAAGCAACAGTATTTCAATGAGTCTTGCAGTCCAGAGACATGACAAGATATGGATTGTGGATGTTAAATTAAATCTAGCGGCACTGTTTGAAAATATCCTATCTACTAAGACCTGTAAAACTCCCTGAAAGAAAGACAGAAGATTGCATAAATCCTTATCATGATGTCCAGCAAGTAAATTTTAAATCCTACAAAAATTAAACTTGTCAGCAATTCTCTAAGGGTAAAATAAGGAAGCATCAAATCCTAACCCTATTACAGCTGCTGCCTTTTTCTTCATTGTCATATTTTAGAAATAGCTTCTATTCTGAATTACTTAGCTTGTTATACTACTGTAGTATCCATGGTGGGATTTCTGAAATACAGTTTTTTTGAAACCATGCAGCCAGCTTGATGCCAGCTTCTTTGCCTTCCCTTCTCAAGCTGGTCATAGTCATCTTCAACTTCTTCAAAAATAAGGGCACAGCAGATTGATCTTCCAAAGCCAGGTTTGCCCATAGCTTTTCTGGATAATAGTTTATCTGGTTGGAACCACATGATAGATGACAGTATTTGGTTTACTGTATTTTTTCCCACTAGGTCGCTTGCATTCCTCTTGCTAGGACCTTAAACAACCTCTACCTATTGCAGCCTGCAGAACACAGATCCCTTAATGTCTCCTCCTGAAACAAAGTGCCCAAATATCTTCAGTAAAACCCTTTTATTTAGAAAAATGTCTTTGTGTGAATGGGGGTTTTGTTGCCAGAAGCAGAAGGGATATATCCTGCCATAGAACATTCACCTGTAAGGTATCTTCTAGTCTTCATTTTAAATGAAGTAAGGCTAAAATATTCTAGCTAAATAGATTTTCTGTATGATAAGCCTTGCCAAGAGCTACTGACGTTTTTCTAAAAGGAGTTTCAATGCCTTTGCTGTATACAAGGAGTTGATCTGTGTTAAAGTTCTACTCTTGACCAGGTCTCAAAAGATACTGCTTAAATTTTCTGTTACAAAGTTTGAGCTTCTCAGAAGTCCAAAATAGCAGAGGAGAGGAGAGGACTAATTCACCAAGGACTCAACTATGGGGGAACACTCATGATTACAAAAAGCCTTTAAACTATTGTAAGATTTCAGGCAGGAAGATATTTATCAGAGAAACATGGAAGTTGTTGTTCTTGCTACTCAGTTCAGTTACTGTCAAATATTCAGTAACTATTGTATCTTATCTGATTTCAGGCCGAGGGAGCCAGAGAGAGACTGTCAGAACAGCAGTACAACCGCCTCGTGGAGTACGTCACAAAGACATCTTACCACCTTGCTCCCAGCACCACCACAGCGCCAGCCCCGCAAACCGTGGCTACTGAACAGCCCCTGACTATAACAAAAACCTATCAGTATGTAGTTGATCCAAATTTTGCCCAAGTATTCATTAGTAAATTCACCATGGTGAAAAATAAAGCCTTGAGGAAAGGGTTTAATTAATAGTTATTTCTGGTGTGTGTAGTAATACCAAACCAGTTTGAAAGCAATGCAGTAACCTACATCAAGTAGAGATGCGTATAATTTTTGAGGAGGTAGAAATTGATAACAAAGCCCAATAGCTTTTCTAATCTTGACAACATTCCTGCTCCCTAGCCAAAATACTAGTGCTGGAAGGAAAGTGTTCTGGCAAATGAATAAAGTGAGAAGGAACAGCCTTGGACTACAGCTTAATCAAAATCCTTTTTCTTTTCGATAACCAAAAATTAAATAGGGAAAAATTACGTGCATGCGGACACTTTTACCACACACAGAAATGTGTATCAATACCTCTATATCATACTTTAGGGTCTGCCAGTTTCTGTTATAAACCAGGTTTATAACTCAGCTGTAAAAACTTGCTCGAGGCTGAGCCTTTCCCTCCACACCCACACTCCCCCAACATATGCATCCTGAGGCAAAACATTTTCCCCCTCTAAATCTGAAAAACCCAGTGTGGCTGTTTTAAGTTACTAGTGACAGCTGGGTTTTAGCACCACTTTAACCTTAAAATAGCTTCCTTTATTTGACTGAAGTTTTGCAGGACATTAGTCCATAATGTAAACTAGTGCCTTTGTGTGGTTTGGAGAATAAAACATGAACTACAACATGACTTTATTTTTAAAACTGTCTGTATACAGAAACTTTATTTTATCCACCGTCGAATTTTCAGAAGTACTTTCAATGTATGTATGACTGTGCATTGTCTGTTCATTAGCTGGAAGCCAATAACATGCAGTTCAAGAATTTAAGAAACAGAGCTGTCTCCTTAAAATCTCCAAGCTCAGTGTAACCCAGATGTGCAGGTGCTAAGTACACCTTGTGGGGTCTTGCTTATTTCTGATCTGCCACAACTACATTGTATGTGCTCCCTTCAGCCTTAATTCATTTTATGCTTATCATCTTCAAACTGATAAAAACAGGAATATTTAGAAACGTGACCTTTCAAATATGTACTAAGCAAAGTGAGATTTTTTTTAAGTTGATTGAAAACTATGGACCCAGAGGGCACCAATTGCATTCATAGTTAATAATGCCATCACAATACACTTACAAATATATGTTAAACATCTGTATTTCTTGTATTTATAAACCAAATCTGGCTATGGCAGTTTCATTTTAAAACCAAAAGCTTACTTGGTTTGCATAGTTAACTATGCATGTTAACTTTTCTCTCCTTTTCTATATGCTTACCAAAATGAATTTTGTCTGGAGATTCCTGAACATGGCTGGAACTGGAGTCAAAAACTGGAATAAAATTTGATCACCACTTGGATCATATGCTTTATAGTTAATAAGTTCTATGCATACTTGATATGACCAAATGCACAGTAAATGAGAATGTAGTAACTACAATGTTTTTCTCTTGAGATCTGTTAAAAGGTATTTCTAAAAGCTGTGTCTCTCATCTACTGAGAATAAAGGAGGCTGGGGTCTGCATTGTCCTTTTCTGACTGTGAAATAAGCCCATCCATTATCAACATTTCATTCAATGATTTGGTAACTTAGTCATTGTTTAAATAACACTGTTTAAAAATGTCTATGTATATACATGCGTGCTTCATTCCTGAGTATTTTATGGAAGTTGTTTAATACTTCTAATTTTGCATATTGATGGATAAATTGTAATATAATTAAATTGTTTAAAGATAATAAAGCTATTCCTGTAATATTTGTTCTTGTGAGCTGTTTATTCATTCAGTTACATGGTGCAGGACAATAACAAGACTGATGTACGAGCTTCATGAGGGCCCCATTAGATCCCAGTTGGTCACTGGACTTTGTAGTGTACCAGGAAATGCAATAGATCATGACAATACTTTGGAAGTAAAAACTGGTGACTAGCTTGCCAAAAACTTGTGCTGAAAAGTTTTATGCTTTTGTGACTAACTGAATCAAAACAGCACTGTAGTCACCGTTTCAATTAGACTAATCTGTTCCTTATTTATGGAGTACACACACAAGCCAAGGGGATGCAAACACACCTGTAAAAAATGAGGAACAGCAGTTTAATTTCTAAAAGTTTGTAGATTTCAGACATTGTTTTAAGATACATTTGTGGTTTTTCCTGAATTACATTCTCCTGGAATAAACACTTGCTTAAATTACACTTTTCTTCAGTGAATTGAGCTGCATCTTTACTGCATTATGCAGGTTCTTTCTCCCCCTTCTGACCACATGTATGGAAACGAGTGGGGACAGCACATAAATCAACCTCTCCTACATAAGAGCTGTGTGAACTATGAAAACAAAGTTGTCCAAAGAGCAGCTGCCTGTACTTAGCTGCTAAAGCAGTGCAATGTGTACTCTTAAAACATGCCTACTCTCATAATGCTCCTTAGACCTGGAGAGCTCACAACTTCAAATCTATCTTTTTAGTTTGCTTCCAGAACAATCAATCACTCCTCAAACACTCGAGAATAAAGGAAGCTAGCCAAAAAATTTGAAGGCATAGTCAGGCAAGACCTTTCCCAAAGCAGTTCAGGTCAAATAATTCCTTTTTATATATCATTTCATACATAAATATAGCAAAAATCTTCAGACACTTGGGATAGTCTCCAAGAGCAGCCAAGCATGTTTTTCAGCTCTGCATCTCCTAGAAACAGAATGCCAGACCCTGTAACAAGCAACTGATTAGGGTCTAACTCACAGGTCTTGTACTGTGTTATGTCCCACTCCAATTCTTTGTATGATAGAACCAGCTGAACTCTTGCTGGCAAAGGGAAAAAAAAATAAGGAAGAAGAAAAAAAAAGAAGGTAGGTTGGTGCTGATTTCAGCAAAGCAGGTTAGGTACCCAACTTCGCAGTCCCTTCCTACTCCAGAGGAAAGCAAGCTGTGGGTTGGTTGGCATTGCCTGCTTAAGGGAAGTACTTGCCTTGCATCCTAGGAATGAAACTAGACTGCATCCAGAAAGCAACAATTGCAGCCTGCAGATGCTCAAAGCACAGCCACAGAAGTTAGAATTCACCTTTCTTTGTTAAATACATTTAGCCAGAGACATTCCTGAGCCGCTGCATCTGTCAAAAACTGCCTTCAGTCACAAAACTTATTTCTTTAAATCACATGAGCTGGTAGCTGAAGGAACACAGACTACAGTAACTGCTGCTGGCTACAACAGTTTAGAAGATACTAAGAATTTAACAGTAAATTAATTCATAGCAACTGTAAAGAATACAGGGCCCAGACAGAAAAGGGAAGTCATGTCTGTTAGCCTGCACACCTGGCAGTAGCAAGTTTCTTTGCCTCTGAAGCTGTAGGACTGAAGACCCCTGGCTATTTAAACCTGCAGACAGGCCTGAGAAAGGTAGTCAGTACTTCATGGCATACACTGTTTATACTGTACATTGGGAAGACAAATGGGTATCATTTGCTATTGTTAAGCTCTGGTTTACATTTATAGGAGTTGGGGTATTCTGATTACGAGACCGTTTCCCCTGCATCACTGATGTCAAATGCTTTCTTTGCTTAAAGGAAGCACTGTCTACACGGGAAGTCTAAAGAAAATCCCATGTTGCTCTATAAAATGTTCTGGATCACATACATTACTTATGTGCTTTCATTAGTCCAAATGTTGTTCAAGGATACCTATTAAGTGTTAAGTAGTTAATGATCCATGTAAAGTAATAAGAGTTACTCCAAACAGGATTTGAACTGAAGACCTTCAAATACAACACAGATGGCCTAATTTGTCATGCTGCTTCATACAAAGACTTCCTTCCTTTCATGCAGCCAGCTTTTCCCTGCTCTCCTAAGTATCCACATTCAGCAAACAAAAGCTGCAGTCCTAGTACCTTCTTCATCCTGAGCAACAGGCAATGACAATGCCTCTTCTCACTAACAGGTTATCGTGGCCCAAGAAGACAGAGCATCATCTCTCAGACTGCACAGAATGTAGCAGAGATCCAAACTATGCTTAGCTGACTACTTCCAGATATTAAAAAGATGATACATGTCTAAAAGCAGCATGCCAAGATTTTTATTACCATAATACAATATTCACTTTGTCTGCCTGTACACCCTTTCCTCTTGTACATCTATTACATGGGAACATGCCTGCAGTTTGCAGTAATTTTCCAATTAGAGTAACTAATATACCATGTGTAAGAATGGGCATTTGCAGAGTCTCTAAGTCTTGCTGTAACAGTTTGCTGATGTAAGGAAGACAGTCCAGTGAAGAGAGCAGCAAAAGACAAAACGGTTGGCTGGTGTATTTCCAGAATTTCTAGCCAAGTTCTTTCCTCTCAAGGTCAGCTCACCTTGTGAAGCCAGAGGTAACACAGACCCCTCCAGAAATCCATCCTCTCCCTTCCTTCAACATCTGTCCTCTTACACATTCCCATAAGCAGCTGGGACAAACTAGCTGTCGCTGCTTAGGGACAGACTGTGCTATCAAGTGTGGAATTTGGCCAAAACAGAGATGCAAATAATTCCTGGAGGAAAGATAAACTTAGTCATCTTGAGCAAGTTCTGAAGACTTTCTACCACTCCTTCCACCCACCACCTGAGCCTTTAAGTATTTCTACATTAATGAAGACAACTGAAAGTCACTGACATATGTATTTTATTTATTGAGTTGCATTAGAGTGCGCCATGCGCTGAAGTGTGTTGCACTTTACACTTCAGTGAACAAATAAGGTTCGGTCATCAAGTCTCCTTGATCTGAAGGGAATCTGCAAGATAAAAAAAGCTCAGTAAGTTATGATGGACAAACTTCATGCTGAAAGTAAACATATTAGAATGTCTGAATGCAAAGCAGCAGAGAGAAATGTTTATGCGGTAGTTTAGTCTAGAGGAATTCCCCGTTATTTCCTGATGCTTGAAGCTTCACACACCCTTCATGTGGCAAACAGAAGTGAAACATGGAACAAATCAAGAGCTGGAACAACTCTGCACAGCACACCAGATTCACTATATATGCTGCACTGTAACTGAATCAGTCTTGCTGAGGGCCTGCAGGAGAAAGGAAAGCAGCTTTCAGATAGGAGCCAGAGAGGAAACAAGTGGTGTAGGCAGCCTACCAAGGAAGGAAGAAAACCAAATTCAAATTGCTTCTCCCCATTATACTGAACACAATCCAAGAGCAGCTGTGCTCCATGACAAGAGTCATGAAAGTGGTTAGCACCAAACTCTGAGCCTCCCCCTTTATTCCATGGCTGAGCACACAGCAGATGCCAGATCTGCTCCCATTTATACCTGCACTTAATTTCCACTGTCAGTATCACCAGCAGAGTACTCACCAAGCAGATGAAACAGTGAATTCACAGGGAGGTGCCAAGGAGCCTCCATGCCCAGCAGGAACAGACGTGGTGTAGAGTGCCATGCTACCACCATAACTAATTAACTCCTTCCTGCCCACCCAACCCCCTCCTCAATTCTGGGACTAAGTACTGGTTCCACAGAAAGTATTCAGTGAGGTTAAGTTGTTACTTATTGCCACATACTCCAGTGAACTGGGAGATGTAGAGTGTGCATGATCACTGTAGGTAGCTACACCAAAAAAAGGCTTAAAATTCAAAATAGCTAAGATTTAAACTTCTGAGGCAAATGAAAATGTCTTCCATCTGTTCTGGGTACTTGTCCTTTTTTCACAGCCTTTACAAAACATTTGAAGCACTTGCATTTTTTTCCCCTTCTACTTTTGTATTCACATGCAGGCACAAGAAAAAACAACCTCTTTCTACTACGAAGTAGTGAAAAAATATCTCTTCTTATATGAACAGGCTAGGGAATAAGAAGCATCAGCAACTCAAACAAAATCACAAAAGATAATTTGTCTTCCACATTTTCTTTTGAGCCAGTACAATTAAGAAATGGAAAAATTGTTTAGGAAACATTTAATTTTAACAGGTGCACACAATGTGCAATTTTTTTTTAAGCTGCCAGTGGGAACACAGGCTGAGAGTGGAGCTCTATTTGTACTGAAATAAATCCTGCTCATGATTTGAATTAAATATTCAACATGCATCCTTGTTGAAAGTGTTTGTTTCAAATGATTTTACCACCAGATGGCCCTTCAGAATACACTGATGAAGGCCACCTGACTAAAGAATGCAATTCCAGTGTCTAAAGAAGTTTAAAAGTGACCATATATTAGCCAGAGGACTGGACCAGAGGCAGAATTACCAAGATTTAAACCAGGTAAATCTATAATTTCATTATTTATCTTTGTTGCAGTCATAGCTAAAGAACAGCAGTATCCCGCTCTCACAAAATAAAATAAAAAAAAACACTACCAAAAGCTGGGATTGACACAAGCATTTTTTACCCTTTTTCTAATTTTTTAGAAGACATGGAGCTCTGAGATTTTTTACATAATTGTGTTCAGCAGAAATCAGATAGTTGGAGATTGTCATAGAACAGAATTCAGTATTCATAGTGTTAAGTACAAATCTTTTATTCAATCTTGCTTCTTCATGCAAACAAGCTGAGAAAATCCAGCTGGCCAGGATAATTAAAGCCACAGATTATCACGTAATGATCACAATATGAAAACATTCCAAAAGAATGAAAAACTATCATTCTAGATTAGTCTGAAGTCATTTTAGGAGAAGCAGAGAACTCAATGTAAAAATTTTGCACCAAGAAAGGGAGAGGAACTTTTTACTGAGTTGTCACATCAGCGTGTGCAGCTTAGTGAGTGTAGTTATTAATAACTACAACACAGTTGAAATCAAGAACTTTTTCCTGGTGTTACTAGCAAGGGAGAACAAAGCTGCGTAGTTTTCCTAGAACAGGCAGTGTCAAGTGCTAAAAAAAAGAGTATTGCAAACGAAGTTGTGTTCAAGTTCATACAATATGGCAAAAATGTGATTATTAGTACACAAAGCTGTATGCCATTGTGATTGTTTAATATATGTGTGTGTGTGTGTGTGTATGTATAGATGTATTTCCCCTCATGACTAGTTATCTTCCCCCTCTCACCAACTTCAATATACAAAATGATATGCAGAAGCTGTCTCTGTTTCTTACATTCAGATGCATGCTATGAGAGAATCAGCCTCTCCATTTTCTCACTCACTGTACCACCACAAGTATGTAAGCAGAAGATACAGACAGCCCCAAGTTAAGCAGTTCAAGATGTGACAGCATCAACATAACTGTGGAATCAGGCAAGTCTTGCAGTTTACCATTAGAGCTTTGTCTCCTCTCTGTGGTTATGTGAGGAGGACAAAGGCCTGGCATCATCACTGTCTCCTGTACCACTCAAGTTAAGCAAATTACCCAAAAGGTATTCAGGAGCTTCTATCCCACCTTTACTCCCCAGTTCTCCTGCTTCTTCACATTTTTATTTCCCTGAGGTCTCTTGAGTGCAGTTTGTATTCTTTCTCTTTGAAAAGCCATTTGAAAGAAAAGGAAAATCCCACCCCTCCCCTAAGCAGAAGCACAACATCTCATTGAAATCATCTCACTCCTGTTCTAATGCAGTGCAGTTCACTACCTGCAGATGCAGCTTACCATCACTTGGGCGGTGCACATTCAAACACACCAGCTGCCTTCATGGTTTCAAAGTCCTTCACGGGATCATAATTTTTATAGAACTCTGCATAAGCTCGTTTTCTGGGTTCAGCAACTCCAAACTGGAAAGAAACACACAGAAAATTAAAGTTTGCAAAGCTTTATGAACAGATTTTTTTCTGTTAGTTCCATAATTTCTATCAGTGGATATTAATCTAAAATTTTTAGCTCAAATTATTAAACATTCCTTTGTTCCTGTTAAAACCCACAGGTCAAGCTACCTGATCATTGGTCAGAAGAACAAATGTCTGCAGTAAAACCTTAAAAAGAAAGTCTGTTACAAGGTAGCACATCACAGTTTCAAAGAACCAAAACCACTCCATCTGTATTGATACTCGTGTGTCCAACATCCTCCCTGCTAATAGTTTTATACATAAAATATGTCATTATGGCAACTCTTGTGCCTGTAGGAAGCTGCAAAACTCTGACTCCAGATAAAAGGACTACATTACAGCTACACCATAAGTCAACTACATCTGGTAAAATTTTATAAGACTGCCAAGCCACTCTTACAGGTCACCAACATAAAAAGACACAATCCTCATTCCTTGGACATCCACTTACCTGAAGCACAGAGATATTCTCATAAAGCTCCCAAAAACGTGAAAAAAATTTTGAGGTGGGTTTGTACAACAGCATCTAACATGGGACAAAGTAAATTGCTGCTGAGATCCTTGTTACCTGCTCTAAATCTGGTCTGACAGTGTATTAACACTGGGGTGCCAAATAAGGTACTGACCCAGAGATTATTAAAAAATTATATTCTAAGTCTGACCACAAACAAGCTTGTCTACCTCTCAACAGATGTCTTAAGTACATGTGTGAGTTTCTGATAGACATTTGTGGCTCTGAGAAGTTGTGAAAAACCTGAAATTAACTTCATTTCTCATCACTTTTATCAATAGCTTCCTGAGCACTCAAATGCTGCCAACAGTATATGCATGAGTTCAGTGGGAAAACCAAGATCCCATTCTTCCACAGGAATTCACACTGTGTTGTTTGAGAGACAAGAATTATCTAATAAGAGCACTCAAAAGCAAAGTACTGCTCTTATCTTTATTAGAAGTCAAACCTGTAAGGGTGTTTTTCTGGAAACATAATGCTCCATTTCCACACAATACCTCAAAAGCAAGGACAGAAAGACCACATCAGGTTTTCCCACACTGATATCTACAGCGTGAATGATGAGTTTTCCAAATTGCTTAAGAGCAAGTTTCCTGAAATCAGCCAAGAGATAAAGTAAGATCTGGACAAGTCTCCCAAGTCACAGAAACTGTGGCAGACCTAAACACAAACTGTCTAGAGTTAATGTGCATCAATTGTGAATGGTCAAGAGCATTTTGGGACTAGGAGACTGAAGGTCAAGTTGTCATGAATTGCATGATCTTGAACACACAGAATGAAACATCAGATTATTCATATCCCTTCTTCAAATGAAGATTAGGAAGATTTATTTGTGCTTTGGAAACGTGCTTACAAAAATACATTACTAAACCTTTCTGATGAACAGCTCAACCCAATTTCAACAGAAAAATATTATGAATTCTTTAAATATTCCTGGTTTATAACTGAATGACACTACAGAGCCCACCTTGTACAAAGCCGCAGATGTCATAGATACCAAAAATGCCCCAAGGAGGTGAAACTTCATCCGCCTGGCCAAAAGGCGCCGCATTTGTGGCTTTGGCAACAGTGCAGCCGACATTATGGCTGGATTTCCTGAAAGAACAAAGAAATAAGAGAATTTTGGGATACTTAAAATTATCTTCTGTACTACAGAAAGATCATTCTTTTTGTTTTGTGCAATAATCGTCTTCACGATACAAGCAACAGTGGTCCTGTGCATTTGACCTTCCAATGACAATATTTAAGAGACAAAATTCAAGGATAACCTATTTATGACACAATTCTAGTTAAAGTTCTTATATTTCTTACACACAGTATTTATGGAATCGAGACCGGCCTTCGTAGTTCACACTAAATCCTGCGCCCCCCGCAGAGTCTTCCCTCCCAGGCCTCCTGTTCTGGTGTTCACGTCAGAAGACATTCTAAGCACTACCAGGGACAGGCTGGGACCAGCCCCTCGCCGCTCCCCGCACCCAGGGCGCCCCAGCCCCGCGCTGCACCCGCCGCCGCTGGGCCCGGCTCCGCCACCCTCAGGGACGCGCAGAGGTCAGGGGACCGTCGCGGGGCC